TCCAAAGGGAACGCTATTCACTATAATGGTGCGTTTACAAACATTTTAGGAAAATAAACATCAATTTATGAAGTTAGCTTATGTGATGTTCTCTCAAATATTTCAGTTGTATTTAAAATTCAACATTCAAGATGACTTTGGGAAATGAGTGAATGCAACTAGTGAAAGATAACTGCAGACATGGAAGAAATGGATGAAAAGTCTATTAAGACTCTTTTTCTTTTCTTCTTCTGTTGTTATGTTGCTCATTAGCCACATATTAGTGCACTGCTGCCTCTCACTGCTTTATTAATGTCATTGGTTCCTTTGTGGCTACTTGAATATTTTAAGTAAGTGTCACTCAAAACAGTAAGTAAATTGTTTTATTTGCCTTGAAAGTAGCTGTAAAATAAAACCTAGTAAGTATGACAACTAAGTAAAGACAACTAATTAAATCTAAGTAAGGTAAACTATTGGATTTTACAGTGTACAACAGTAGCCTAAACAATGTCAAAAACGAGCTATTTGGCAAACATTAACCAAGAGCGAGTGTGGCCTTGTTGACGTAAAGCTCAAAAGAAAATAAAGTTCTTTCTACATTTTGAAAAGAATCCTTTCATTGTAACCGGTAATGTGTATTAAGCAAGCACATTGTCTAATTTTGATTGCATGTTGAGCGGTGAGTTACTGTACCTTCAGTGTCAAATGTGATATGTTCGCATGGATTTGGAGCACTTACTCAAGACCTCCAGCTCAGCACTGATGCTCCTGTTGCTGTGCCTCACTGAGCATGTGTAAATGTTGCTGTCGTCTTCACTCACGTCACTGATCTGAAGATTTCCATCGCTTCTCTGAGACATTTTAGCATTAGCCAGCGCGGGACCAGAGTCAAAAATCACCCTGCATACATTCAAACCCACTGGATTATACACACAAAACAACAAAACATCCTCCAGAAAAAAGCGTTTTTTTTTTCTTGAATTTCTAGAATTTCAGAATATGTGTTATAAAATAATTACTTCATATTTGTATTATAAAATAGTCTTTTCATTGAAAACTACAAAGATTACATACATCATTGCTTCTTATTAAAGGATTCGTGGATTATTAATTCTTTTTAAATGTTAATATGTTAATAGGTTTACTTATAATGTTAGCTCAGAATATTTTTTCCACAAAAATAAAAATATATATGTGAGAAATGATTCTTTTCGACCCTCATTCTGAGCCGCTGTCTGCAGTGATCTGTTTCGGGCTTGTAAACAGCCACTGTTATGACTGGCTAACGTCACTGCATAGGAAATAGTGTCCTATTATAGAAATGCTTTGTCTATAAGGAGGAGGATATTTTAAGCTCTGAAACTTGCAGAATGCTTTAATGGTACAAATACATCTTATCTGCCAAAAGCATAAGGCAAAATTGATTTCTCATGTCCCGATCCCTTTAGTACATAGTAAATGTGTTCAGAAAATGAAAAAAAGAAATACTCACCAGTCAACTTTGGGTTGTGGGGAGCCAAATGTTCTGCATTGCAGTAGAACCCTTTGGCCTTCTGTGGCCTTGTACACAAGCCCATCTGCCGTCAGGATCTGAGGAGGCAGTTCTGACAGACAGAAGCTCAGCTTTTTATTAAAATACATCACGAAAAACAATCAACAGGCCGACAGCAGATTTTCAGAATGGCATGAATCGGGTACAAACTGTTGTCCCATTTATTTTTAAGCACAAATCCATATTCTGACAAGAAATCACTTCATGTGGACCCATTCTGGAGTGATAGTTCCCAGCCTTTCTACAGCGTGGTGCGAACACATGCAAATAATCAAAATGCATTTGATTAAATGTTACACTACTGATTCTCACCAACTACATGGACATGCGTGTTGACCAGGATATTGCCATGTTTATTGGTGGCCTCGCACTGATAGACCGCCGTATCGCTGTACTGAACGTTAGTCAGGATCAGTGTACCAGAACTCAGATGTCGCCTCGCGTCCGAGTCTGTCCCTGCGACACACAGAAATGAGGAAATACTAGAGACTTGACTTGACGTGAACAACAGAAATCTTTAGGTCTACAAAGAGAAAAGTGTCTCAAAACATTGCAAGATTGTTTAGAGTTATGAAGGGAGCTATTGGGTGGCATTTACAGAGGAAAAAATAATCCATTAATGCTGCTCATGGTTTTGTTTTGAACTAGAACCTCACTTACTGTATTTCATTGAGACAATTATGAATTAACGTTCAAGACAATTTCTTGACATATACATTCTGTCACAGTTACTGTGCTCTAAGGAGACAGGCGCACGACGCAGGAGTAATCCAGCACACAATCTTTAATTCCAACTTCAAATCAGGAGAATAACCAGGAGACAGATAAATCACAGACATCAAAGAGCAAACTAAACATGACGGTGAACGGACCCAGACTAAGGGAGAACTGAGGATTTATAAGCAAAACCCAAACAAAGGGAACTAATGAGATGATTAACTAAACGAGAACAGGAACTGAACCAAATAAGGGCAGACAGGAACTAAACAGAAACCAACACGTGACACATTCATATATAACTATATACATCTACAAACACTTCACTGTTTTTAATTGTCTCTTCCTTTTATGTCCCTCATTTTTTATTTTAATGCATAACCATATTTCATTGTAACTAATTCATTTTTTTTTTACTTCTAACTTTTATTGTATTTTTTGTTTCTCATGTTTTCCCTCCCTCTAGTGTTTGTGTTTGGTGGTTTTGCTTTTTTCTTCCCTCTGACAGGTTGCAGCATACACGGCAAAAACAGATGTGTCAAAAAACAACACACATGGTTGTGTTGACAGCATTCTGACACATGTGGTGTAGATTTTAACA